GTTCACTTACTTGTACTTTTCCGTATGTTCTACTTCAAAGTTTACTAAAATACATAAATGACAAATTACTTAAAAATAAGGGCAACACCATGTTACCCACTGTCACCATGGCAGTAAACCTTATTCTGGAACTGGGCGCACCAGGGTCTTCATTGGCTGCCACGAAACCTCTGAAGCCACAGCTCGCCTTGCATGCCTGGCATCCGGCCACTGCAGGTTTACTGGGAGAGGTCCCACAGGTCAGAGGACCCAAAGACTATCCAGGGCCCTCTGAAGTTGGCTTCTCACAACACATCATTACAGTAAGGTACTGAAGTGTACATCCATAAAAATAAAATAACCAGTTAGCACTTCGGTTTTCCTCTGGGTACTGAACTGAATTTTTCTTCTTCTTACTTCTGTATTTTCCTAGTTTTTTTTTTTTCCCCTAAAGAACTGACTCATTTAACAACCAGCAAAAGAGAAATGTCATTTTAAATAAAAGGTAGTGGAAGAAAGATACATTTTTACAAGGAGTCAAATGCTGAGGGCTTTCTAGCAATCATGAATAATCAAAAGGGCAGGACGGTGCATCAGGAAGAGCACCGCGCCGTCTCGCAGACCCAGATCAGCACCCCAGTCCTCTGAGCACCCTGCCTCAGCTCCCTCAGGCAGCACAGAAACGGCCACCCTCTAAGCCTGCAGGGCTGCTGTGAGCGCCAGCTGAAATCCTACGTGAACTCTAAGTACTACACAAACATTAAAAAACACTTAAAGACAAATAGCGTGTAGGAAGGTCTCCACAAAACACGAACGCTCTTTAACAACCATCACATGAGTGGCGCAGGTCAGGAGTTTAGAGTGGCTGTGAACCTGCAGGCTGCCCAGTGACCCAGAGTGACTTCTGGGACTGCTGGGTCAGTAAGTGCTCAGAGGATCACTGGCAGACTGACCAAATGCCATGTGTAAGAGGCACAATTTTCCATAGTCTGTGCTGTTACAGCTGGGTGTTTTAAAAGTTAATTTAAAAGTTAATTCACAGCAGCTTTGTGGTATACTCTCAAACAATCCAAACTAAAAAGTTTATCAAGTGGAAACAATTTTTACAATTAAGATCACACACAAAGATCGGAAACCAGTGATGTAACTACTTATCCCACGAGGTAATTTTTAAAGGGTTCCCTAACTGAGCTGGGAAACTCCAGGAAAGCCACGTGTCCTGAGAGGGTGGCGTGGACAGAGGCTCCCTGCCCGCGTCTGGAAGCAGGCGCACCAGCAAGCCCACGGGCTCCCCAACACCGCCCGGTCCCCAGGCTCCCTGAGCACGCTCCCTCCGATCTGCTCCGTCCTGACAGCGAGCAGTCCTAGGCAACCCGGAAATGGACAACAGAGCCAGTCAGACGGAGCTCCACGGCAGTGGTGACATCACCCAAGCAGAGAGCCCCAGGCGGCCTGCGAGCCCCTGCATTAAGCGCTGCATCTCCCGGCAGATGAACAAGGCCAACACTGTATGTCACCGCTGGAACCAACTCCCAAGCTCTCTTCCTCCCCCACAGAGACATTTTGCAAGTAGCTATTCTTAAATTTGTTTTTGAAATCACAGCCTGGAGCACTAAAATTGAAACTAGCCGGAGACAGGGTTTAAGAAACCTGTTCTGATTTCACCCTCGGCATCACTTTTCTCTTTGATTCGCAAATCACACTGACCACAACCACCATTAGGAAGTTTTAAAACATAAATGAAAACTATTTTTCTGTTTAATGCCACACGTGGGAGGAAAAAAGCAGCAAATAGAGGGAAGATGCTAGAGCAAGACCCTGAAGAGGTCAACACACTGCAGCAAACTGCAGACAGGGGAGCACAGAGACCCACTAAGCAGCACTGACAGACACGTGTGCGGTGACGGAGGGCTGGATGGCTGGGAACACAGTGGCAACCTGCCTGGGCCACAGGAGTCAGGAGGAAGCCGGGAGCTGCAAAATGGGAGGACGGGGGTTGATTTCTAGAGCATCGGCCTGATCCTCAGGGGATGACATCAGCGCCAAGGGGAACCACTGCTGTAGCCTGACGCAGGGGCTCCTCCTGACCTCCCCGGAAAGCCCTGCCTGTAACCCCCAGTCCACTATCTGGTCACAGTCTTCTCAGCCATGTTTCAATCACACAAATGGAGAGTTATACAATTTATGATAGGGATAATGATAAATATGGATGTCAAATCTCACAAGGGAATAGCACATAAAACGACTGTCCCATGTGTGTAGTCTGGGTTTGCTACCCCTTTGCAGAAAAAGGCCAACGTCAAATGTAAGGGCAAAAATGTTATTAGCGCAGATCCCTCTGGACACTGATTAAAAGCTAATCAGATAACCAACACCTTTTCGTTTCACTTGGTGGTGGGGTCAGGAACTGGATTCAAAGTCACCCTTTAGTATAAAGCAACGCTCTTTGATTATGGGGTTTGGGGGCTTAGGCCTGGTTGGCATCAAAAACCATTTCTGCCCCAGGGGACTGCTAACCATTATCTGGAGGGACACACCCACGTTCGCGTCTCCTCCACTCAGGCAGTTCTACCACAACACAAACAGCACATCCTCTCTTGAAGAAGGATTTGCGGGAGATGGGGTGGGGGTTTCGTCCTGGACGACGTTAAACTCTGTCAGCTGTAGGACAGACCCAGCACGCCAAACTCGGAGAGCAGTGCTAACGTTCACAGTGCGAGACGGCGGTGACACCAGCTCCCTCCTGAGTGAGCGACGACACAGGTGCCACTGCAGCAGACGGACAAACAGGCTGAACGCGGAAGGTTACTCTTCAAAAACCATGACCAATTAGAAACTGCGATGTTAACGTCTACGTACTCTCTTCAAAGCCAAATCAAACCATACCTACGCTGTTGTTAAAATGAACAAAACTTTCAAACTTAGCCAGAACTCTCTGCTGTCTGTATTACTACAGGTGCACTTGCTGAGATGAGAAATAACTCCTCTCTACAAAACCCTCCAGTTCTACCTCCAAGCCACTCCACAAGAGAATTCCTGGCCGCGATCAATCACCGGTTTTAAATTCCTTGAGGATAGGAACCACGCCACCCTGAGTCAATACCCGGCAACGCCTGATACATGGTACGCACTCAGAACACCTGACGGATGAATGAAAAGGTACTCATCATTCTCTCCTCTATGTGCAAACATAATTTAAGACTACCAGACTTATTACTCACTCACATACAGCAGGCTGCGTAACAAAGATTAAGGAGAAAAAAATCAGACAACAGGGTGTTAAGCACTAAGCTTCAGCTTGACAGCATCTTCAGGAGAAGCACTCACAATTCACTTTCCAGTTCTTAGACTCAAATCTGAACAAACTCTCCTAAGTCTGAAGAGAGAAACACACCAATAGGAGACTTTATTAATCCACGGATGGGAAGTCATGCGGCTAATCAGCTGCTTAAGTCACAAGGAAGAGACAAGAGCCTGTTCTTTTGGACTCCAAAGAGAAGATACAGTATTTTCCACAGCAAAGAACCCACTGGCGGGACACCCATGCGCTTAAGTTGTAAGAGAGGTTCACGTAGTAGAATAGCCAGACTAACTCATTTGACAAAAGATGTAGGAGAAAACAATTTCAAACTTCAATCAAGTACTTTGTTAGAATTCTAGAGATCCTAATTTACTGGCGCTACGCTACAAAAAAAGTGTGTCAAAAATCAAAACTGCAAACGGAGTATGTGACGGTTTTAAGGCAGAACTAACGTTCTGGAGGCGGCTTTCAAAACGACATCACTAGAAAGAAAGAAGGCGAAGAGAGGCAGATACAAGCAGCAAAAGGCAAATCACAAGCTTCGGGGATGTCTGAAAGCAGTTCCACACGGCTGAGTGTAGTGCTCTGGAGTCGGCCGCCTGGACTGGAATCTCTGCTCGGGAACTTCTTGGCTGGGCGACCTTGGACAAATGACTTAACCTCTCCGATCTCTGATTTCCCCATCCATACAAGAGCACAGTAGTGGTACTTCAGAAGGCTGTTCTGAGAATTAAACGCAATAATCTGTGCAAAAGTCTTGCCACGCTGCCCAACATACAACAAGCGCTCCAATGTTCGCTACTGTTCTTCTCAATTTTCCCAATTTTACGAACCACTCCTTACGTTCGAGTACACCCGACCTGAATGCAGTGAGAGGGCCCTGACGCGATCGGAATCCAAACACAGCTCTCTCCCGCAGTAAGTTTGGAAACTTCCTTCAGGATTCACCGTAACGTGTTTATGACAAAAAGCTCCCTGTCGCCGGAGCCAGAGGCATCTCAAGTACACAGGCGCCAGATGCGAGCGCGGCACGTGACCTGAC